TCCTCACTGCACAGCCCCCATCTCCCCTGTCTCCCTGACAGTCGTAAAGAGTTCAGAGTATGGAGGTCTGATCTTGTAGGATCTCCTACTCTGAAACTAGAGCACCAAAGAGACACCCCTATTTGTCTATAGAATTAAATTTATAACTCCTTCGAGAGAGAGAAACTCTGTATGTAGGTGTTACCTGGAGAAAAAATAATACCGTGCATATACTTTTAATTAAGACACTTCACCAAAATGTTGTGGTCAGATTTAAAATTCAAAGCCTATTAGACTATTAGAATTTTAGCATAGATCCAATGTCCCCTATCTTATCAGGCTTTATGCACCCTGTTCCAAGTTTTTATGCAAATTCTATTTAAGTGTGACAAAGATTAAATATTTTGTTTTTCAGTTTAACTCATGGATGGCATTGTGTCTCAAATTTCCAGGTAAGCCCAATTTAAGGAAAAACTACTAAAGGAGGGTGTTCCACATTATTAAGCAGAGCACCATTTTCATGCAATATGGGCAAGAAAAGAGTGAAATAGTTCAATGCTTGGACGAGGTATGAAAACATTAGATATTTCACAAAAACTTAAGCGTGATCATCGCACTATTAAGAGATTTGTGGCTGATTCAGGGCACAGACGGGTTTGTGCAGACAAAGGCACATTGAGGATCCATGCATTGGATCAAGAGAGCAGCTGCTAAAATACCATTACATAGCAGCAAACCGATATTTGAAGCTGCTGGTGCCTCTGGAGTCCCACGGACATCAAGGTGTAGAGTCCTCCAGAGTCTTGCAACTGTGCATAAACCTTCTATTCGACCACCACTAACCAATGCTAACAAGCAGAAACTGCTGCATTGGGCAGAAAAATACATGAAGACTAATTTTCAAACATTCCTGTTCACTGATGAGTGCCGTGCAACCCTGGATGGTCCAGATGGATGGAGTAGTGGATGGCTGGTGGACAGCCACCCTATTCCACCAAGGCTGTGACGTCAGCAAGGCGGTGGTGGAGTCATGTTTTGGGCCGGAATCATGGGAAGAGAGCTGGTCAGCCCCTTTAGAGTCCCTGCAGTTGTAAAGATGACCTCTGCAAAGTATGTGGAGTTTCTGACTGACCACTTTCTTCCCTGGTACAGAAGGAAGAACTATGCTTTCCATATTAAAATCATCTTCATGCATGACAATGCACCATCTCATGCTGCAAAGAATACCTCTGCATCAATGGCTGCTATGAGGATAAAAGGAGAGAAAGTCATGGTGTGGCCTCCATCCTCCCCTGACCTTAATCCTATTGAGAACCTTTGGAGCATCCTCAAGCAAAATATCTATGAGGGTGGGAGGCAGTTTACATCCAAACAGCAGTTCTGGGAGGCTATTCTGACATCTTGCAAACAAATTCAAGCAGAAACTGTCCAAAAACTCACAAGTTCAATGGATGCAAGACTTGTGAAGCTGCTATCAAATAAGGGGTCCTATGTTAAAATGTAACGTGACCTGCTAAAATGTTTAAAAAGTTAAAATGTTGTTATAAGTTTGATTGAAATAGCTTTTGATTTCAGTAAATATGCTGCAAACACAACAAATTAAAATTTTCAGTTCTTTACAACCTATAAAGTGTTTTGAAACTTACTGTGCATAATAATTTGAAACAGTGCATTGTAAGTTTTTTATGTTTAAAAAAAATACTGTTATCATTAAGAGGTTTGTTCAATAAAATTTGAATTGTACTCTTAATAGTTGATAACATGAGAATTATGCTGACTGTTATTTACATCAATTATTTAGGTAAATGAGAAAAATTTAATTTGCATAATAATTTGGAACATGGTGTATTTTTTAAAAGAAGACAACCTAATGTATTAAACTTGTGGTATTTTGACTCTTTTCATGCAACCATTTTACCACCAATCTATGTCAAATTAAAAAACAAAAAAAAATGGTGATTTTTTTGACACACATAGCAATTTAACAATACATGTACTGAGAACTCTACTGGTTACTGCCAAAGAACACCCCAATATGTGTTCAGAAACATCTCCTGAGTACAGTGATACCACCCATGAATAGGTGTGGCAGGTTCTCTGGGGGCTAAAAGACCTTATTTGGAGAGTGCGCATTCCAGTTTTCCAACTTGGACCCATGTCCTATTTGGGACAGTTTTGAAGACTGCCAATGTAATATACCCCCATCAAACTGTATATTTTTTAAAAGTATGTAACCCAGGGTATTCAATATGGGGCATGTCCAGTCTTTTTTAGTAGCTACTTAGTCACAAACACTGGCCAAAGTTAGCATTTATATTTGTTTGTGTGTTTAAAATGCAAAGAACAATTATGAACGCTAACTTTGGCCAGTGTTTGTGACCAAAAGGGTACTAAAAAAGACTGAACATACCACATTTGCAATACCTTGGGTTGTCTTCTTTTTCAAATGATATGCCATCATGGGGGCAATTCTGACTCCTGGGCTACCATACGCTCTCAAAGGCAACATAACCAATCTGGCAAATTTCAATGTAAAAAAGGGCCTTATATTAGACCCTGTAACTTTCAAAAATACTATAAAACCTGTACATAGGGGGTACTGTTAAACTCCGGATACTTCGCTGAACACAAATATTAGTGTTTCAAAACAGTAAAATGTATTACAACAATGATTTCATCAGTGAAAGTGCCATTTGTGTGTGAAAAATGCAAAGAAAACCTTCACTTTAACTGACAATATCATCACTGTGATATGGTTTAATGTTTTGAAACACTAACATTTATGTTCAGTGAAGTCTTACAAGTAAAACCGTAACCCCCACGTACAGGTTTTAGGGTGTCTTGGAAAGTTACAGGGTTAAATATAGTGCTAACAAATTAAATTCCCTGGACTTTCGGCCTGGGTTGTCAGGCAGGTCCCCCAAATTGCAATCAATAAAATTACTTAATTATGTAAAAATATTACATAAATATGCATGTAAAATTGCAATATATATACATATTTATATATTTTTAGTCTATAAAGTATATTTATGTAATTATATATATGGACATATGTATATTTCGTAATATATATATATATATATATATATATATATATATATAAAATACAGTTTGAATAAAATTACATATATATATATATGCCCTGCATGACCATAGGAAAGCTGGCTACCACCAAACTTTACAGCCCTGGAAATACCCCCATTCATGGCTACACCTGGCATCACAAGAATGGTGAGCCAGTGAACTATTTTGGGCTATTTATGTCGGACAGCATATTTGAGCTGATAGCTGAGCAAACCTACCTGTATGCCAGCCAGTATGTGCCTGTGAATCCAAGGTCACAATAAAGTAGAAAAAAAGTGAGAGTACACTGATGCCGCAGAAATGAAAACATTTTGAGCACTAACCCTAGTAATAGGTATTTTGGAAAAGCCAAGTATCATGTCATGGAAGGGAGCGGGTCACTATAGGGAGCTATAGTGCCAGGATAACAACTTTGTTTTCCTGGCACTATTATTTCACTTTAACTGCTAATGATGTCTGCTCACTTGGAACAACTTGGTATGCATAGGCATTTTTTCTATTGCAGTATTATTTTGGAAAGGGGGTCCTCCTGTCTAGTTACACTTTAGTTTGTTTTCCTTTAGATGACATGTGCATTTCCCTATTTGGAAATAATGTTTCAAAGGTGACATAGAACCAAATAATAACTTTGACAAATTTCAAAGCTAAAAAGGGCATTTAATATATTTTGCCCTGTGACATCCCCCCCCCCCCAAAAAGAGAGGAACTGTTAGTGAGACAATGCAAGGTAAAAATATTGAGGCTTTATCACACGAACGCTCATCGGGATTATTAAATGTCCTGTGTAAATGGAATATATCTTTGTATAAAAACACAAATAAAATTATCACCACTAAATGGGGCCTGAATATGTGTTAACATGACTAGACCAAACATATTACAATACACAAAATGGAATACTCTGGGTTGCCTACTTTTGAAAATGGTATGCCATAATGGTGAAAATGTTATTACTCAGGCTGTCATACTCTCTCACAGGCGACATAGGCCCAGAAAATCCCTTTGTCAAATTTCCAGGTATGAAGACTGAAATGTTCATGCCCTATATTTGATGCTGTAACTTTCCAAAACCTCATAAAACCTGTACATAGGGGTAACTGTTATACTCGTGAGACTTAGCTGAGCACAAACATGATTGTTTTAGCTTTCACCGCTGTCTGTGGGCCCAAGTTATCCTATCAGTCTTTATCCGCCACCGGTGCAGCACCCCTGGATACCGAACAGCCATGACAGAGCAGATAACCCTTCGAGGGACCCTTAAGGGTCACAATGGCTGGGTTAGTCAAATAGGAACTACCCCTCAATTACCGGAGATGATCATCAGCTCTTCCCGGGATAAGACTGTCATCATGTGGAAGATGGCTTGTGATGAAACAAATTAAGGTGTACCTCACCGTGCTCTGCGTGGTCGGCCTCACTTTATTAGTGACATTGTGATTTCAGCAGATGGCCAGTTTGCTGTCTGGCTCTTGTGATAGCACTCTAAGGTTGTGGGATCTTATAACAGGTACAACCACAAGACGATTTGTTGGTCACACCAAGATGTATTGAGTTTTGCTTTCTCGTCAAATCGTGTGTGGATCCTGTGATAAAACAATCAAGCTGTGGAACACTAGGAGTGTGCAAATACACTGCACAGAAGGAGTTTCATTCTGATGGGTCTTGTGTGTCAGGTTCTCTTCAAACAGCAGCAATTCCATCATTGTCTCCTGTGGATGGGACAAAATGGTGAATGTGTGGAATTTTGCTAGTTGCAAGCTGAAGACCAACTATATTGGCCACAGTGGTTTCTTGAAGACCATAACAGTTTTACCTGATGGATCTTATGTTCCTCTGGTGGCAAAGACGGACAAGCCATGTTGTGAGATCTTAATGAAGGAAAACCTCTGTACACTCTGGGCAGTGGAGATATAATAAACGCTCTGTGTTTCAGCCCCAACCGCTACTGGCTATCTGCAGCCACTGGGTCCAACATCCAGATTTGGGATCTGGAGGGCAAGATCATTGTGGATGAGTTAAAACAGGAAGTGATTAAAACCAGCAGCAAAGCTGAACCCCCACAATGCACTTCTCTTGCCTGGTCAGCTGATGGACAGACTCTCTTCGCTGGATATACAGACAACCTTATCAGAGTCTGGCAGGGTACATCTGGTACCCAATAAATGCATGGACAACCTGAAGACCAATTATAGCATGGAATCTGTTCAATGTCACGCTCACAGAATTCTTTATTCTATAAACTGCTAAAAACTCTGGGTGGGGGAAATATGATTGTTTTAGAGTAGTGAAATGTATAATGATGATTATATCATCAGTGAAACTGCAGTTTTTTTGTGAAAAATTTAAAAACTAAATGTGAATACTAATGTAGTCATGATTTATGACTAAGTGACTACTTAAAAAGAGTAGGAAACCCAGGGTATTAAAAATATGGTATGTCCACTCTTGCAAGAATCATTGTATTCGTGGGAAATCACAACTTACAAATATATGTATTTTATAACAGTAAAAGCTAAGCATATGACATTCACAATTAAAATGGCATACAGAACTTGGAAAATAACATTTCTTAATTTTTTTCACACATATTTTAGGTTTTATTCCTACTAAAACAGGTTTCATATACAAATATTTTATGAACGTTAAATGAAAGCCCTGTTTTTTCTGATTCTGAACACAGTGATATGTAATAAGTGTGAGTGCAGTTAATATGAAAGAGGTAAGTTATAGTTGAACAAACATATAGCTTAAATTCTAGATTTTGTTTTGGTTCTGAACGTGTAAAATTGCCTCTGTCCTTAACAGGTTAAGGTAATAACAATTATTGTGAAAGGGCCCAGGAGAGGACCATACAAAATAAATATAAGGGTTAATTCCTAATAAGAATAAATAACTTCAGGTCCAAGAGGCCTTTAAGGGTGACGCAATTATCATAAAATGGCCCTGGAGATTATGAATTCTGTAATTGTTTGGGTCCGGGGAGACCCCGCTCATTTAAAAAAAAATGTTAAATTTTTTTTTTTTTAAATGATTGTAGAGAGTCAATAAGCTATTGTGTAATAGAGCTGATCAGCTCTCTATTTTTACTTTTGGCCACAGAGAAGAGCAGCACATCTTGCTGCTGTAAGCTGTGAAAAAAGAAAGGGTTATTGCCTAGTAAGACCAGTAAGGGCTATTTTTTAAGCCTTTAAAACCACAACACCGTTTAGTGAAGAGCAAATGGTGTCGTTGGTAACTTAAATGTTTTTAAAAGAGATGTTGGCATAAGAAAAAGCAAAATAAGGCAGTGCAGCTCTAGCAAATTGAGTCCATACCATTTGATGATTAAATACAATTAATAAATTGCAGTTGATCTCACAACCTAGCAGAGTTCTTGAGAGCATAGTGATGTGTGTGATAATCTAGTACCCTGTAAATTACTAAATAATTGTGTTCATTGAATGAATGGTTAAGTAGGCTTTGGCTGAGATTAATAGCACTCCCTGGTGTTCCATGGATTTGTTCAAGAGTCGCCTATTTAATCAAGTATTTTATTATTGCATTTTAATGATTTATCCATTTAATGCATTAATAAAATAAGTAATGTCGTTCCAGAAATGTATTTTAATCGTATGCTGCCTCCCAGGGGTTCATCTCAAATACATACTTGCATAGGGCGACATATCCCATGCACAGGCTTGTATCTCTGGCAAAAATGTGTGCCTACAGCAAAAAAGAATTTAAATACTTAACAACATTAATGGGGAGAATAAATCTGATTATATTTTCCCTAACTATTTAATGACATGTGTTTAATAGCATGTGTTATTTTCTGATAAGAAAAACTAATCCCGAATATATGCACAATTGATGTTATCAAATGTGTGCAAAGTAAATGAGAGAAAAAAAAACATTCCAGTGGTCCAGCAGTCTCGTATAGATAGTTTATATTTGCATACTGGGAGATTTAAAGATTGCCAATAAAGCTGAAAATTATTCTATAACTAGAAATGAAATAAACATTGCATTTTGTATCTCTAAATAGTGCTATCCAATACAGTATAATTCATCTAAAAATATTTTGACTGAAAGTTCACGCTTATAAAGTGGTAATCCTCCCTTTGAATGTAAAATCTATTAGAGTTCTGGGTTACATCTCAATGGGCCACTTGGCATAATTGTCCCACTGTTACCCAATCAAATCAGGAAGTGAACACAATTATAACATTTCTCTGCAGTCTCCCAAAATTTAAGACATTTCCTTTACCCACATTGTTACTCTCCTCATGTGTTTGAGGTCAGCCTTAGTTTTAAGAATTCCAGAAAAGACTGACTAGGCATGTATTGGATGTGACCATTCAGTTTTTTTTTTAATGTAAATATGATAATTGGCTGCTAGTTATGAGGAATAATACAGTAATCATAAATCAGATTTGTATATTAACATGGTGGACAGAGATAACGGGAGAGATATAGAAAAAAAATATTTGTTGGGTGGTTAAATGAAAAGTAGATAAGGAACCATCGTGGAAATTGCCAGGGGAAGACCATGCGCCATCACAAGGAGAAACAGAGGGCACTGACATAGAAACTAGGCAGACATGAAGAGAACACGAGGTGCTAATCTGGAAAGACAGGATTATTTACTCAATATTCAAAGTGAATTTCAAATGTAAGTTTATTTTAAAATTTAAGAATTTAAAAAAATTTTCCCAGCTGTTTTGAATTCACTTTGAGTTCTCACTTTAATGAATAACCCTAGTAGAGTAAGTCAATATGGGGAAAAAAAGGAAAATAGTATTGAGATAGAGATAGGGAACTGAATTGGAAAGAGGTAAATATCAGTTCTTTTTGGATGTGGAAAAAGCTCCACTCTACATAATGGGTTTGTGACTGTATCTTTTTTTTACTTATTATATCTTATTTTTTATTGAAGAAAATTACTTTTCTATTTTTTTTTTCAAAGTACATAAATAAAAATACAATATGAAAAAAAAGATATACATATACAATTGCAAAGCATTATATATACATTGAGTTGCAATTCTCTGCAAGATAAATTATGATCTGCATAATCCATATGCCTACATATATAGCTCAATATGAACTCAATCGTGCATAATGCAGTTGTAAAAAGGTGCTGCAACACAATAACTAGTTTCAAAGGGGAAAAAAATAAAAAAAAGTTTATCAACAAAATAAAATAAAGAATCTTTAGGAATACCATACTGAGCAAAGAACGTGAGAAACAAACCCTTATAATGCAACAACGTTGCTTAACCGTAGCCCAACATCAATTTCTCTTTTGTTTGACCACATATTTAAAGGGTAGTAAATTTTTGAAATATGTGCTGGGAGGCATAAGGGACTTTACTTAGAGTACATTCCTACGGACTAAAATGCTAGATTTTCCAACAATCCCATTGTAACGGATCGCCTGGCACCCCGACTGGGTACCTCCGTTGAAGGATGCTCCTAGCCCTTCCTGAGGACTCCAAGCACTGCAGCAGACACCAAAACCACCGAACCGGAGCAACAAATAAATTCTCCCAAGCATATGAATGCTGTAGACAGTTGAATAGGAACCATACGAATAGGTTTACTCTCCTAGCAGTCAAACTGGAACAGCATACAATAAATCCTTCCCACAATAATGAGACGACACTTCACTTTGAGGGTTAAAACAGGAACTCCCTGTACTGTCACATACAGTCTCTTTTATTCCCAATCCACAAACATAGTACAGCCCACAGGGCGTTACAAAACAACCAATCACATCACAGTTACATCCCACATATTCCCTCCCCTTATCCTGAGAGGAAACTCAATTATACATACAGTTAAAACATACCTTCTACCCAACTTTCATAACTCCAAAACCATACATCACATTCACATAAAATTACATATTCACAATCAATCCATTCAGGGGAACAACATATTCAAAAATGGCACAAATCAGACAAGGGGTTCAAAAGTTAGTAAAAAGTCCTTTGTGACTAAATGAAGCATGGCTTTCTGGCCCAAACCAGTTTCACAGTCTTCTATCCTGGAGATAAGTAATTCAATTATCTCCCAGGATAGACACAAGACTCCATTAAGCACATGGTTGCAAAAAGACACAAAACACTTTAAAATACATAAAGTCACATTTACACATAACACACAGACATTTCACATATTCCCAGATAGCTGGGATCTGAGTGCACATTATTAGATGAATGGCACTCAGATCACACAAATAAGCCTTTCTGCAGGGGAAATAAACAGTTTAACCTGCAGGGCCATAGTCCAAAGGGAGCAGGCGAGCAACCAGGCTTCTCCAGTTCACAGTGGCGAGGTTGGTTTCGCCACACCCATCTTTTGTGGAAGTGCTCTATGTTATCGGAAAGTTTGTAGGAGATAGCCTCATACTCTTTTGTATGAGAAATTTTAGCAATTATTTTTGACACATCAGGAACTTGTTTGCTTTTCCACAACGCTGCAATGCAAGTTTTAGCCGCTATGAATATATGAATAATCAATGTAGCCTTATGCAAAGGAATCTCACTGGGCAGTATATGCAGGAGATAAGTAGCCAGTAACAATGGTATATCAAACCCAGCCTCTTCTTTGATCAAACTTTTAATTGATCTACAATAACCGGATAACTGTGAGCAGTTCCAGAAAATATGGCTTATAGAACCTACTTCCATATTACATCTCCAACATGCTGATGGTGACCCTAAAAACATTTTGGATAGGCGTTGTGGAGTTACATAACACCTCATCCAAATTTTATTTGAAGCTTCTATATGGTCAAGACAGCGCATAGATTTTTTTGTTACTCTCATTGCTAGTTACCATTGAGCTGGGTCAATAATACATTTTAATTCCTCTTCCCATTTTATCATATGTGCTAGGTTTTTAGGCCTAGCTGCCTCTATCAAACATTTATAGCATAGTGATAGGAGTCTGTTTGTTTTAATTTACCCATGCAAAATTTCCCAAAGCCACTTATCTCCTTCGCTGTTAACATCTTTGCCTTTTTTTGTATGAGAAAGTGTTTTACTCTTAAATAGGAAAATATTTCTTTACTATCAAGTCCATACTCTAATTGTAAATCAGAAAAAGGTCGTATACCATTAAGATAATGGAATATTATCGGACAATTGGAATATTTGTCCGATACCCTTCTTTTCCTAGTTACGCAAGGATAAATCTTCCGAGCAGCACGAGAGACTCCCTATTGAAGCATATAACATAAATGTTTCCTTTTTCATC